GTTTCTGGGCATCAGACTGCAGGAAGCTGGCCGCAGCCCTGGAGAGACCGACAAGCATGTCTCTTCTATCCCGGGCTTTATTTTTCTCACGGTCTCTGAAAGGGCTGTGATCAGGTGATATGTGTGGGACTGCTCCCTGTACAGGTGTGGAGCAGGTACCAAGGGGAGGAGAAAATCCGCCCCGTGTGTACTTACTCAAGGCTCTTTCAATAGCCCTCCCAGGACAGCTCTTGGCAAGGCAGCCACCACGTCTCTGGCAGGCTAGAGGGAATCTGAGTGTGAGAAAGTCAGTCATGCGGAGGAAAAGGGAAGAAAAAAAAAGCTTCAAGTCCTCAGGCAAAATACCTTTTTTCTTCCTCTCTCACTCTCTCCTCTCTGTAGCTTTAAACCAAACCCACAAACCATCCCGATACCTAGGGGACAAAGGGGAGTCTCACTAGAGATGCAGTTATTTGTTTTATGGTTTGAAAGCAAACAGGTGATGCAATAAGACAGAAATTGCTCTTCATGGGGTGGGGGGTGGGGAGGTGGGGGTGGGAGGAGACAGACACAGGAGCCCCTGGCTGTATTTATTGGGCATAATACAGTGGGAAAGATGTATTGTGTTTTGCTCATATCACAGTAGGATCAAAGAAGTGACCTCTACTGATGAACAGGGTTCGATTTTCCCTCTGCTTTGGGAGTAGGGGGAAGAGGATGGCTGAAAAATAAAGGCTGTTTCCACTAGAGGAGCCTTCCAAATTCAAAAGCCTTTTCCTGAGTTCAGGAGCTTTCTGTCCCCTTTGAGAAAAGGTAGAGAGAGGGCCCACTTGGTCCTGTTTTCACTGCCCAGGATACTGAAAAATAAGGATACTGAAAAATAATCTGTGAGTACATCTGCAAGAAACTTCCTCCTTGAATGGCTAGAGTAGAAAACTGGAGAATTTGTGGAATTTTTTTTTGGTCCAGACACAAATTCATAGCTAATTTTTGGTGACTTAAGCCCTCCATGTAAAAATGTGGGTGTGTGAAAGCTACTTGCTCATTCTGTAGTCTAAGCATCCCTAAAGTGACAATAAACGAGTTGCCGATTAACTATTTGATTCATAAGTTTGCTTTAAAGCACCGGAATGAGACCCTAACTTGACCATATTGCATTCTCCCTGCACCTTCAGGGTGCCAAGTCCCTAGGGGGGAACAGAATCCAATGAAAAAGGCTCTTAGAAAGGACAGGGGGCAAACCCCACAAGTTAATTAGGGCCCAACAGCAGACAGCAGTCAATGTCACAGCAGAGCTTAGTGGAGGAAGTACTGGGCTCTGAAAGATTTGGGGGAAACCTGGAAAGGGTTAAAATGCTTCCCTGGGAAGGGTTTAGTTCCTTGGAAGAATCTGGGTCAGTGTATTTGTGCAGTTTTTTAAAAGTCAGATGCTGAGTAGAAGCATTTTAAGGAGCTTGCAAAGCATACTGGGGGCACAACAAAAAGAAGGTTACTGCATAGGCTCATCACCTTTCACCAAGAGGATTTTAACCACACAGGAAAACCCCACGTTCTCCAAAAGCAACAGACAATTTTCTGTCATCGCCACTTTTCCATCTGTTTAAAATAAGAAAAAAAAAAAAGTTCTACCCCATTGGCCCAGGTTGCAGGTCAACAAAGGAGACATTGTTCATCATTTCTTCAGAACATGATAGGGCACAGCCCACTCTGCAGTGTGTTAAGAAAACACAAAAAATCCCAGAGAATAATCCAAGGGGCAAGAATGAGTAAACCTACCCCGCAATGAGATAAACGTTTGGCTGCAAGACTTGAGGGCTCTCCTGGAAGGTGGAAACGAGGCTTAGAAGGTTAATGTGACCAGAGCCACAAGGATTCTTGGTTAGACTCCAGGTGAGGGGGGAGAGTTGGAAACACTGCATTCAATTAAAAAATAGGTGGGTTTCTGTTGAACTCGGGCCCCTGGACAACGCACAGTCAAGGCCTAGGTGACCTGGATCTAGGCAGGTGGCTCTGGATGAGTGTCAGTCTACATCTGTCACCTAGGAACCTCTGTACTAGCTTGAACCTCCTAACTGGCCTCTCTGTCTCCAAACCCTGCAACCCACTCTCCACACTTTTGCCAGAGTCATCTTTCTGAGAAGGAACCTTGAAGCCCCTTCTCTGCTCAAGAACATGTTGTGGCTCTCCATTGTCTAAAGATAAGGTCCAAAGAAAAGAAAAACAAAAGAAGATAAGGTCCAATGTCCTATAACAGCAAGATGTCTAAGGGGCTTGTAATATGGCCTCAGGCCTCCTCCTCCAGTCCCCTCACATACTGTGGGCTCCAGACCATGTTCCCTGACTGAAGACCTCTGGTTCCAGAGTCTTGGCCTTTAGTGCCCTGGGTACATTTCCATTATTCTCAGCCCCATGACTCAGCACATTTCTAATACCCCCCCTACCCTGCCTATTTTTCAAGGTACACAGGCCACCTCCTCCAGGAAGTCTTCCAAGGTACCCCAATGTATAAGTTAATTCTCCTGAACCTCCATAGCACTCCACCTCTGTCTAGACACACAACTGTTTCTCTTGAAACTAGGACCTCCAAGAGGAATATACCAGGAAATCCTTAGATGTCAGCTAGACTTATGAGTATATGTGTCTATTTCAAAGCTGTGGGCTTCCTGAGGGCACTAGCCATCTTATTCATTCCTGCAACACCAGGTAGAGCAACAATGCTGTTGTCCAAACAGGTGTGGTTTCTTATTTTGTGTAGACCCTCCAGATCTAAGCCCAAAGAGAAAAGAAAACCAGAGGAATGCCCGGTCATCAATCAGAAACTGTCTGCCTCAGCAGTTGACTGTAAACGTCTTGCCGACTGCCACTGGATCTCCCTCGTGGAAATCCCAGGGTTTAACACAATGTCTGGCACTGCGCGTGTGTTCCACAATGAAAGAAACAGGGGCATGCCCAAGGTCACCCAGAGTCAGAAACCCCTGCATCTCATCCGGGACGAGATCTGCTGAAAGCATTTACGACATTATCTCAGTGGGGAGCGCGGAGGAAGGAAGGAATGAAGTGTCTGAGAAATGTGTGCCAGGCCTCCGGGACGCGGGAAGGGCCGAGGGGGCGGGAGGCGA